TGATTGTTCTAGTGCCAATCATTTATTCGTTCAATGGTTTATCGTTGGTTCATTTATTCGTTCATAGTTTATGATTGGTTCATTTATTTGTTCCTTGGTTTATCGTTGGTTCATTTATTCGTTCATTGGTTTATCGTTGGTTCATTTATTTGTTCATTGGTTCATTTATTCGTTCATTGGTTTATCGTTGGTTCATTTATTCGTTCATTGGTTTATTTATTCGTTCATTGGTTTATCTTTGGTTCATTTATTCTTTCATTGGTTTATCATTGGTTCATTTATTCGTTCATTGGTTTATCGTTGGTTTCTTTATTTGTTTCATTTGTTTATCGTTGGTTCATTTATTCGTTCATTGGTTTATCGTTGGTTCATTTATTTGTTCATTGGTTCATTTATTCGTTCATTTTTATCGTTGGTTCATTTATTCGTTCATTGGTTTATCGTTGGTTCATTTATTCGTTCATTGTTTATGATTGGTTCATTTATTTGTTCCTTGGTTTATTGTTGGTTCATTTATTCGTTCAATTGGTTTATGATTGGTTCATTTATTTTTTCATTTGTTTTTTATTGGTTCATTTATTCGTTCATTGCTTTATCGTTGGTTCATTTATTCGTTCATTGGTTTATCGTTGTTTCATTAATTCGTTCATTGGTTCATCGTTGGTTCATTTATTCGTTCATTGGTTTATCGTTGGTTTCTTTATTTGTTCATCTGTTTATCGTTGGTTCATTTATTCGTTCATTGGTTTATCGTTGGTTCGTTTATTTCTTCATTTGTTCACCATTCTTTAATCTGGTCGTTCATTTTATAAATTATCAAGAGCTCATTAACCTAAAATTTAATTCAAATTAATAAAATTATTAATTAATTATTTAATTAATATTAATAAATAAATAAAAGGTTTGTGATGAGACTAGGAGAGAGTTCGTGGCATGAAGACTGTTTATTCTGCTCCCAGGTTAGTTTTACATTGTCTATTCTGCTCCCAGGTCAGTTTTATATTGTCTATTCTGCTCCCAGGTCAGTTTTATATTGTCTATTCTGCTCCCAGGTCAGTTTTATATTGTCTATTCTGGTCCCAGGTTAGTTTTATATTGTTTATTCTACTCCCAGGTTAGTTTTATATTGTCTATTCTGCTCCCAGGTCAGTTTTATATTGTCTATTCTGCTCCCAGGTTAGTTTTATATTGTTTATTCTGCTCCCAGGTCAGTTTTATATTGTTTATTCTACTCCCAGGTCAGTTTTATATTGTCTATTTTGCTCCCAGGTCAGTTTTATATTGTCTATTCTGCTCCCAGGTCAGTTTTATATTGTCTTTCTGGTCTTAGTTTTATTTTGTCTATTCTGCTCCCATGTTAGTTTTATATTGCTTATTCTACTCCCAGGTCATTTTTATATTGTCTATTCTGCTCCCAGGTTAGTTTTATATTGTTTATTCTGCTCCCAGGTTAGTTTTATATTGTTTATTCTGCTCCCAGGTCAGTTTTTTATTGTTTATTCTGCTCCCAGGTTAGTTTTATATTGTTTATTCTGCTCCCAGGTCAGTTTTATATTGTTTATTTTGCTCCCAGGTCAGTTTTATATTGTCTATTCTGCTCCCAGGTCAGTTTTATATTGTTTATTCTGCTCCCAGGATAGTTTTATATTGTCTTTCTGCTCCCAGGTTAGTTTTATATTGTTTATTCTGCTCCCAGGTCAGTTTTATATTGTCTATTCTGCTCCCAGGTCAATTTTATATTGTCTTTTCTGCTCCCAGGTTAGTTTTATATTGTCTATTCTGCTCCCAGGTCATTTTTATATTGTCTATTCTGCTCCCAGGTCAGTTTTATATTGCCTTTTCTGCTCTCAGGTCATTTTTATATTGTCTATTCTGCTCCCAGGTCATTTTTATATTGTCTATTCTGCTCCCAGGTCAGTTTTATATTGTTTATTCTGCTCCCAGGTTAGTTTTATATTGTTTATTCTGCTCCCAGGTTAGTTTTATATTGTCTATTCTGCTCCCAGGTCAGTTTTATATTGTCTATTCTGCTCCCAGGTCAATTTTATATTGTCTATTCTGCTCCCAGGTTAGTTTTATATTGTCTATTCTGCTCCAAGGTCATTTTTATATTGTCTATTCTGCTCCCAGGTCAGTTTTATATTTCCTATTCTGCTCTCAGGTCGGTTTTATATTTCCTATTCTGCTCTCAGGTCGGTTTTATATTTCCTATTCTGCTCTCAGGTCGGTTTCCTTTCATTTAAAAGTTTTTTATTCAATCTAAAAGTTTTTGTATTTCTTTGGCATTTTTATTTTCATTTTGATATTATTATTAAATGCTTGGCTACTACATATTATTATTAAATGGAGTTAAAAAACAAGACGCCCAAAAATACAGTCTATCGTTAAAGTGCGGCATTAAATTCCACTATGCGCGTAGACTAATCAATAGAACTTAAATTTCTTTAAAAAACACAATGTTAAAGAATTTAATAACTCAACATTGAATTATCATTACAATTATCACTGTATTGATTTATTAATTGAAACCTTGATTTGATTTATGAGTTGATTGATAACTTTATAATCAATTGATTAATTGATTGTTCTAGTGCCAATGTTCCCTGCAGAACTCTTGTTACTTCAGAGAAAACAAACTCTTCTGCCGGATGGATTACGAAAGGTAGAGGTAAAAGTAAAGGTCAGGTTTGAGGTCACAATAGAGGTCATGTTTGAGGTTACAATAGAGGTCAACTTTGAGGTCACAATAGAGGTCAGGTTTGAGGTTAAAAGAAAGGTTAATTTATATGGTGACATCTTGCATTGATCTCCAGAAGGAACAACATGGTGCAGATCCTTATTCTTCATATTTCTTCATTTATTAATATTCTTTTTTTTCCATTTTGTTTCTTTAGATCAGATTATTTTGTGACTTTTTCATTGAATCTTTATTTTAATCAAAAGACTAATATTAAATACATTTTTTGAATACAATCTTATTTGCTCTAAAACTTGATAATTTTGTTCATAAACTATTATATTTGTTCTAAAACTTAATAATTTTGTTCATAAACTGTTATATTTGTTCTAAAACTTGATAATTTTGTTCATAAACTGTTGTATCTGTTTTTAAAAATAAAAAAAGTTGGAATTTTTTAGATATTAAATTTCTACGTTTCAGCTTGGTTAGAAAGTTTGCTCTTTCGTTCAAAATATTTTCAAATAGTTCTAAAACTATTTGGTTTTCATTGAAAACATTTTACATATTTTTCTGAATCTTTTTCATGTAGCTTTAAAACTTTTTTTTTCGGCAGAAAATTTTTTAAAATCTATTTTAATTTTTTCTGAAAATATTCCTTTTTGTTCAGAAACGGCCTTGCTTTTCTTAAACTTTTTTGTATTGTTTTGAAACTAAATCATTTTGTTAAGTTTTTTCATAATCTGTTTTATAATTTTTCTTATTTTAAATCATAAAGTGATTCTTTTTAGTGTTGCCGAAATAAAAGGATGGATTTGTTGCCAATAATTTCAATAATTAAACAAATGTTTTCATTAAAAAAAATTGGTTGTTGGTAAACAACACAAAACTATTCTAAATTTAAACTTTTTAGCAATTACAAGGTTATTCAAAAATTACAAAATTGTTAATTAATTACAAAACCTTGAATATGCGCAATTATGTAAACCGGTTTCTGTGTACACTGCAGGATCAAAGCAGAACACGTGGCTGAGCCCAAACCAAACAACTGCACGTGGGATCAGCTGCTCAACTCATCCAAACCAAATACTAGAGAAGATACAAAGGGATTTCTTATGTTTGTTCTAGCACAGGGCAATGTTTATTTAGCTCAATATGTGTGTGTGTACAGTGGACTGCAGTATGAGAGAAAGTGTGTGAAATTATGTGTGAATGAGAGAGAGAGAGAGAGAGAGAGAGAGAGAGAGAGAGAGAGAGAGAGAGAGAGAGAGAGAGAGAGAGAGAGAGAGAGAGAGAGAGAGAGAGAGAGAGAGAGAGAGAGAGAGAGAGAGAGAGAGAGAGAGAGAGAGAGAGAGAGAGAGAGAGAGAGAGAGAGAGAGAGAGAGAGAGAGAGAGAGAGAGAGAGAGAGAGAGAGAGAGAGAGAGAGAGAGAGAGAGAGAGAGAGAGAGAGAGNAGCTTTTTATTAAAATGTGACTTTAATAAAATGTTACATGTTATTTTGTATTTTGAAATTTTCTTAAAAAATTCAGATTCCTTCACTTTAAGCTGTTCAGAAAAATTCCAAAAATTCCAAAATATTCAAATATTTTCACATGGATTGAATGTTATCGACAATATTTACATATATTAAGGTAAAACTATTTAATTTTCTCGGATGAAAGACTTTAAATAAGAATATTAAGTATAAAATTTTTATTTCTTGGATATAAAATTATTTTGGAAATCCATCAATACTTTTTTAAAAAGTTTACAAAGTTTTGATATTCCTTTTAGAACGACCCCCGCACACATGCTCATTAATAAAACTCAAATTTGAACAGTTTGTTTTGAATTCTCGTAACAACAAAAACAATTTAAATCTCAACATCTTAACATTTTAACAATCATTGTAAAGTTTATTTTGTTTTTTATTTATTTATTTATTATTATTATTATTATTATTGTTATTATTATTATTATTATGATTATTACTATTATTATTATTATTATTATTATTTTGCTGCTTTAATATGTAATGGTTATTACAACTAAAGAAATATATGTATTTAGTAATTATTTTCGAAAAAAATGTATCGCAACTTTGAAATGAAAAGTACAAAATGTTCCAGTTTCCAAAGTGTACCCCAAAAGAATCGTAATGATTAATAGAGCCAAAATAAAAAAATTTTAAAAAGTAATTTAATTTCAATAAAATATTTAATAGGACTTGGAAAGTTTTGCCGCCAAAACAAGATGCGGAGGCATCGAAACCAACCAATCAGAGGCCAGAAAGTCTATCCAACCAATTAGAAACAGGATTACTTTGCTTTCCGCCAATGATATGTAAGAGCAGAGAAATTGGTCCAATGAGAGAGCAGGAAATTTAAATTTTATTTTTACAAACTGAAAATGTTCGAACAATAAATATTAAAAGATTTCTCTTCCTATATCCAGAAACTTTTCATCTATCTATCTATCTATCTATCTATCTATCTATCTATCTATCTATCTATCTATCTATCTATCTATCTATCTATCTATCTATCTATCTATCTATCTATCTATCTATCTATCTATCTATCTATCTATCTATCTATCTATCTATCTATCTATCTATCTATCTATCTATCTATCTATCTATCTATCTATCTATCTATCTATCTATCTATCTATCTATCTATCTATCTATCTATCTATCTATCTATCTATCAATCTATCTATCTCAGTGTCCAGTTTATTGATATTCTGGAAACACTTTGATCCTTGGACGCACGTGTAGACAAACAGACACAAACACACGGACACAAACATCAGTTCAGGGTGAAATTTCTCTTTCAAGATCACGCCAGACTAAACCTATAGATCAAACTAAACTAAACCTAGAGATAACTTCTAAACTAAACCTGGAGATCCCAATAAACTAAACCTAAAGATCACACTAAACTAAACATAGAGATAACGATAAACTAAACCTATAGATCAAACTAATCTAAACCTAGAGATCACACTAAACTAAGCCTAAATATCACACTAAACTAAACCTAGAGATCACGCTAAACTAAACTTAGAGATCTCACTAAACTAAACCTAGAGATCACACTAAACTAAGCCTAAAGATCACACTAAACTAAACCTAGAGATCACGCTTAACTAAACCTATAGATCAAACTAAACTAAGCCTAGAGATCACACTAAACTAAACCTAGAGATCACGCTAAACTAAACCTAGAGATCACAGAAAACTAAACCTAGAGATCACGCTAAACTAAACCTAGAGATCACAGTAGACTAAACCTAGAGATCACACTTAACTAAACCTAGAGATCACAGTAGACTAAACCTAGATATTACACTAAACTAAACCTAGATATCTGCACAACAGAATAAACCTAGAGCACAATGGACTAAACCTAGAGATCATACTTAACTAAACCTAGTTTTTCTCATAAATAAATTTTGATTTTTCGGACTTAATTATTTTTGTGAAGTTTATTTATTCTAAAATATTCATTTTTAACTTAGAAGGTTTATTTAAATCCATTGATAAAAAATAATAATTATACTACGTACAGAAAAGATGACACAAAAAAGACGTAAATGCCCTTTTAAACTTTTAAACTTGATATTAGATAAAAACTTAAATCTAAATTTGTTAAAATAGTTCAAAGTTTAAAAAATATGTAAAATCATTGAAAATTGATTTATATTTCAATAGAAAAAGTTTTATTGATATTTTCATTAATTTCAATAAGTCCAAACTTGTAAGATTATTACACTTTTTTTCATAAAAATCCATGTTTTTCTTTTTGATAAATATTGATTTTCATTTGTTGTTTTCTCTGCAAAAGTGACTTGCGCATTTCCTGCTTCACGAGCAATAAAGAAATTATGAGAATTAAATACTTTCCATGCCAGATTAATGATCATAATGGAATATCCTTAATCCCGATCGGTTAATTAATCTGAAGATTAATAACAAGAAGAAAACAAGCCTTATTTAATCTGGAGATTAAGAAAAAGAGTTGATAAAGCATTGATCTCGATATCCATCATGCATGCCCCACTTTTTGAAATGGAGGGTCATATAAAATCCGAGGACAGTCCCTTTAGGTATATTCGTTTTTACTTTATTATTTACTTTTTTCCCCAAGAATTTCATTTATTGAAATGATTCTTTTGTTGTTTTTTAGGTTAATTAGAATTATTTTTATTTTTCAGATTTTTCTCTAATTAAATCTTATGATAAAACAGAAAAAGTAAAATTTAAATCTTGTTTTGAAACGTGACAAAATGGAAAGTAAAACCTAGAAAAGATCCGAGTGTTAAGAAAATGGTTTCATCAAATGTTTTATCTTAAAGAGACTGTCGGCGTAATTTCAAGTTTCCTTTAAATTTCAAATTTTAAATTTTAAATTATAAAAAATTGGATTTCCGATTCTCATACTTTAAACCTTTTCCTGAGGAAGCTTGAGGAAGCTGTATCGTTGGTTTTCTATCAACCATAAACGTGTTGAATTCTGGTCATTTTCTTCTTTTACTAAACTGCATAAAAACGCATCAAGTCACTTTAAAAGATCAACAACAATTAAAAATTGTCAATTTTTAGATAGAAATACAAGGATATCTTAATAAATTTTGCATTTGAAATTAACTTTTCTTTTCAGTTTCTTTGATGATTAAAATAAACATAATTTTGAGACTTTAAAAACTTACTTCGATCATTTTTGACAGGCTTTCATTTTCTAAATTTTCGTTTTTTTAGGCTATGGAGGACTACGTAGGATTGGTGGGCGTTGGGCCACACCCCATCAAGTGTGATAGGGATTGGACCCTTTAATTAAAAAAGAGATATATATTTTTAAAACAAAATTTACTACCATTTTTTTATAAACATAACTATGACAGGAAAGGAATTGAATTTTTGTCAAAAACTCTGATTTTGTAACTCAATGTCTAGATTTGAAATATCAAAGGTTTTAACCATCCGGTTGCAAAGATATAGGGATTAGAAAATTTGATTTAGGGACCTTTAGGATTATTCCTTTTATGTGAAGATTTCTCCTACAGTTTACACAATATGAAAATATATTTTAATTAAAATTTTTTCCAACTTAAGTCAACCATTTCTCAACAAATTAGATTTTAGTTTCTAAAATTTTAGAAAATTTGAATTAATCAATTTGAATTTTATTTTTTAAAGATTTTTAAAGGTCCTTTCACCCAGAGATATGTTGGGACACAACAGTGGTATGTTGACAACAATTCAACATCACAACAACAACAACAACACTGGACATCCAGATAATAAATTTGCCAGGTAAACCTCGTTAAACTAATGTAAATTCAACATCACAACAACAACAACAATGAACGAAAGAAATTTTTCGTGAACATGATGGTGTTTGAAAAAAACGATTGTACGTATGTAAATATAATAAAATGGTATGTCATGCGTTTGGGCTACCCTGTAGAATACATGTTTGACCCTATATTGGTCATGTGTTTGAGCTACCCTGTATGTCATGTATTTGAGCCCCCCTGTAGGTCACGTGTTTTTTGTTTAATGAATATCCAAGTTTAGCCCTAGGACAAGTTGTCAAAGGAATTCTTTTCTCTGAAGAGAGAAGAGAGAAAATTCAGCTTTCAGTGTGTGTTTTTTAGAGAGAAAGGGGTGGTGTGTGTTAGAGAGAAAGAGAGGGTGTGCGTTAGAGAGAAAGAGAGGGTGTGTGTTAGAGAGAAAAAGAGGGGGTGTGTGTTAGAGAGAAAGAGAGAGTGTGTGAGGAATTTTATACACAGAATTTGGTAATTTTAATGTTAAACCCATGACAAGCTGCGGGTGGGAAATGTGCTACCAAATTTTGGATTTTTATATATTCAATAAAACATCCTTCATCTTTAGGATTTCTCTGACTAAATATGTATTTCATGCTTCAAAAATCAAAACAATGCTATACAATACAGTATAATCTTCAAAAATCAAAACAATGCTATACAATGCAGTAGGTTTTTGTCTATCTGTAACAAATCTAGATGCTACTTCTCTAACGATTACTTAACTCACAGTCTAATGAAATTCTCTCTAACTAAATCTCTAGCCAAAACTCAAGGCTCTGTATACGTCCGTTCTGATCAATTAACGATATTCAACTACTTTATTTATAAACAGGTAGAAATGAACTGACCGGGCTAGCCCGGCTGGGTCAACATACAAATAGTTAAGATAATAATATTATTAATACAGATAATGAATTAGAATTGCACATCATGGCAGATTATACTTCATATATATATTCTCCACCCCCTGGTTTCAACTTGTTATCTCCAATTCTNCTCCAAGGTCATTTTTATATTGTCTATTCTGCTCCCAGGTCAGTTTTATATTTCCTATTCTGCTCTCAGGTCGGTTTTATATTTCCTATTCTGCTCTCAGGTCGGTTTTATATTTCCTATTCTGCTCTCAGGTCGGTTTCCTTTCATTTAAAAGTTTTTTATTCAATCTAAAAGTTTTTGTATTTCTTTGGCATTTTTATTTTCATTTTGATCCTTGGCTATTACATATTATTATTAAATGCTTGGCTACTACATATTATTATTAAATGGAGTTCAAAAATCAAGACGACCAAAAATACAGTCTATCGTTAAAGTGCGGCATTAAATTCCACTATGCGCGTAGACTAATCAATAGAACTTAAATTTCTTTAAAAAACACAATTTTAAAGAATTTAATAACTCAACATTGAATTATCATTACAATTATCACTGTATTGATTTATTAATTGAAACCTTGATTTGATTTATGAGTTGATTGATAACTTTATAATCAATTGATTAATTGATTGTTCTAGTGCCAATGTTCCCTGCAGAACTCTTGTTACTTCAGAGAAAACAAACTCTTCTGCCGGATGGATTACGAAAGGTAGAGGTAAAAGTAAAGGTCAGGTTTGAGGTCACAATAGAGGTCATGTTTGAGGTTACAAGAGAGATTAACTTTGAGGTTACAATAGAGGTCAACTTTGAGGTCACAATAAAGGTCAACTTTGAGGTTTACAATAGAGGGCAAATTTAAGGTCAAGCTGAAGGTCAAGCGAGATTTAAAGGTTGAGTTCACAAATCACAAGAGAGATGTTAGAGGTTAAAGTTTCATAATCAAGGTTGGGGTCACAAAAGAGGTCAAGGTAAAGGTTGTATAACCAAGTTGGAGGTCACAGTAGAGGTCAAGATTGAGGTCAAGATTTTGGACAATGTTGAGGATAAAATCACAGTTGAGGTCACTATAGAGGTCAATGATGAGGTCATAAACAAAGTTGATGCTAAGCATGATCATTGTAGTTTAGATCAAAGGTTAGCACTTTGCAAATATTATGTGGTTTGGGAAATAACAAAGTTAGATTAACTTATGATACAGTAATAACCAGAAAAATGTAGAATCGGAAGACGACATTAAAGAACTACTTGAATGCATTTGATGTGACAAAGCAAATAGCTTTACTAGTGAGCTATTAAATCACTTATATTAACTTAAATGGGTCTGATTACATTGCACAATTGCTGTGCGTCATGTTCATTGGATTATTTAAAGTCATATCTTGAGTTTACAAGTCAACTTTCTAGTCCAGAGTTTTTTAGTTATCACTGTATATTATATACAAGCTGAAGGGCATGGCGTTTTTAATTGTTTTTAGCCAAAGACACCCCCCGCCCACCCATGAGTTTCCACAAAAAATTTTAGCCCATTCGGTCCAGCTGATTGGTCGGCTATAGGCAACATATAAATGAATGTGTTGTTTTATCACTGTATATTATATATTTATCGTTACGTATATTGAATACAATGGGATTTGAATACAGATGCAGCAAAGTTGAACAGTTTGGGTGAAATTAATGAATAAATGAATTTAAATTAGTTGAGCAACTAAATGTTATGAATTTATAATTTACTAGACTTTTAGGGCGCTTCGCGCCCATCTTCTATTTAAATTGTGAACATATTCTTTTTGTTTACATTTTAAACAAAGAAGAAAAAATTTTGCGGATTAAAAAAAAAAATTCGCGGATTTTCAAGAATTTAATTTTTTTTACAAAATTAAAAACCTTTAAAACACATTTTTTTAAATTTTAAACATTCATAAACCTTTCCTGTGGTCACGTGATTTCCCACAAAAATTTTTGGCCCTATCGGTTCAGCCGTTTTGACGTTTATTGGATACAAACAGACAAGCCAAATTTATATATAGATATATTGATATAATCAAATATCAAAACCAAGTCTTTAACACCATACCATTACGCAAAATTAAAAAAAATTCCTCCAGCCCCATTTATGCTTTTTAAAATGCATAATTTAAGGGATTATCATGTACTGCAATATAAATATTATGTACTGCAATATAAATATTATGTACTGCAATATAAATATTATGTACTGCAATATAAACATTATGTACTGCAATATAAATATTATGTACTGCAATATAAATATAATGTACTGCAATATAAATATTATGTACTGCAATATAAACATGAAAAAATGATGTCTTTTTAGTTCTCGAATTTAGGGAAGGCAATCAAAAAAAGAAATTTTGAGGGGGAGGGAAAGAATGAAAAAATACACCCCTGATCAAATTTTGTCTTTTTATTCATTGCACGAAAATTAATTAGGTTTGCTCAAATGTTTTGTTTCTAAAATTTCATTGTTTTGATAATGTTTTGAAAATAGAATTCTATCCAACAAAAAATATTCTCATTTGCTTACTTTTTTAATTAAAGAGGAATGTCAGAAAAGAAGCACAGAACGACAAACAGAGTTATTATGAATTTAAAATAAACGGTTTGGTTTGGTTGGTATGGTTTGGTACATGATATTTAGTTTATATTTGATGTTTCTGTAAAAAGAAATCAAACGTCTTTCATGGCTACAAAAAAATCCTCCGGTAGAGGGAATGGTATTTGTGTACATTTTACTGGGTCACATTAGGCCACATCAGGAACTGGTTTAAGATAAAAAAGTTATTTAACAAGCCCGGTGTCATGCATGGAGCGGACTCTTGCATGGAGCGGACTCTTGCATAGGGCGAACTTTCCCTAAAGTTTTTACCATTTTAACACAATGTTAGACATAAAAAGCAATGTTACAACATTATTATGTCTCAAGAAAATATTAATTGTTTGATGATTTGAAAGGAAGACGACATTGAGGAGGAATTAGATTTTTTGTCTTTGAATACATTTAAGAACAAAATGCGTATTTAAAATATGTCAACTAATGAATTTTAATGTTTTAAAATTGCTTTTTATGTCAAACATTGTGTTGAAGATTAAAACTTTAGGGGGAGTTATCATGGCCGCATGCGCAATGTTCATCAACTGTCGACACTCACACACTAATACTTGACTGAGGGGAGGAAGGCCAGCCACAACAATTTCTTGTCCGAGCCACATTTTCTCGTCCGATCCACCTCGGAATCCTAGTCCTTCGATTGTTTTGTGTTAAAAGTTTCCAATTCTTGAAGATAAAACTATTTTTTTAAAATCTGGCCACGTTAGGGCGTAAAATGTGGATGCACTAAAGTATTGCAATGATTATATCACGTTGGATACTTCAACCCCATGAGAATGATGTCAAACTTTATTTTGGTAAAACATAAATCTCTTCTGCCTCCGTAATGGCTAACCTTTGTGATAACTTGGAATTATTTGCGGCATTCTACACCAGGAATATCTGAAAATGCGCGTGAAAAAGGTGAACATTTTTAAAGACATTAAACTTGAAATCTTTAATTCAATTGAAACTCTTTTTTCGATTTACAAAAATTTGATATTTCATTTATGCCCTAACGAGACTTGATTCTTAAAAAATAGTTTTATCTGGAAGGATTAGACACTTAAAAAAAATAATATTGAAAGGACGAGGATTTCGAGGTGGCTCGGACGAGAAAATGAG